AATTCATGTTCAAGCAATCCCTTTCTAATGAACACTTGACTTATGAATATCCTGTATCACCAACAGCTTCTCTTTGAGGGACTTTGAGATACCTCCTACACCTTTGGAAACTGGAATTGTTTCTGTTGATGGCATAAATTTGTTTTTCCCCCAGCGCTCCTGTTCTGGAAGGTTGAATTCTTGTAAGCTGTCATCAGACATTTTGGAACAGTTAATATATGTGAACAACTTCTCTTTCTGCCACCACCAGGATATAAGAATGCACAAAATTCCATACCAGACCTCACGTGGAAGCACATGAAGCCATGTCTAGGGGTATAGTTGGCGATGGTTCTCCATTTACATTTGGAGTCCTTTATCCCAGCAATACCATTATATTTTAATAGCATACCCTTCTAGAATTTGGGTATAGACAGCCACAATTGTGGTATTGCAGCCACAAATCAAGCAGTAAGCAAATGGTCTCTAATCCAGTCAATGTGCATCTTACTGAAAACACCATTCAAAACTACATTTGCTGCCTGTTTATTATTTTTACATGAGCTTAATCTGTGTTTTAATTAGATGACAAGCCTGTAGCCACAAAGTCGAAGGGTATAGAGAATGGATTCTACTTGAATTCTAGTAGTTGACAATACGGTGACAGTAGAAAAGAAATTTAAGAACTCAAAAAAAACCAGCCATAATGAAACACTGTTTATCTACCATAATGAATAAAATAAAAATTACCCAGTATTAGTGAAGATGGAAAACACTGGGACTCACATACATTGATAGTGGGCACATAAAATACTGCAATCAGTCTAGAAAGCTGTTTGGTACCTATTGCATAACCCAGAGGGTCAATTCCTAGATGTCTTTCCAGAAAAAAATGAAGATGTATCTGCACAAAACTTACACATAAGTGTTCACATCAGCTTTATTTGTTGTAGCTACAACTAGAAGTATCCCAGATGTACATCCGTAGGAGGGTGCACTTAAGAAGGAGTGATAGCCCTACGCTGCAAGCTCGGGGATATTTTAATATCTTGGAAAGAGGGTCTGAAAGAACATAAGAGCCAGAGTTCTGGGAAACACTGTTTTCCAGACAGGACATGGATATAACACTCATGAACTCATAGGATCTACAGTTACCTACATGGGATCTGTGTAACACTGGACCCATTAACATTCCAGCATGGATGAGGGAGGGTCATAAGATGCCCTTAGGAGCTATTGGCAGTTGATGGCTACTGGATGAGAAGGAGTCTTTTTTTTTTAGGGTTTAGCCACTGGTAAGAAGGCCAGACTCCATTAGTAACACCACACCCATGCACATGCAGGCAAAAAATTTTAAGGGACAGAGTCTTACAATAAAATACTACTAATTATTAAAAGATAATGGAATGCTTATACATATAACAACAGGAATTAATGTCATGGGCATACTGAATAAAACATTTTGCAAGCCGGGCAGTGGTGGTGCACGCCTTTAATCCCAGCACTTGGGAGGCAGAGGCGGGCAGATTTCTGAGTTCGAGGCCAGCCTGGTCTACAGAGTGAGTTCCAGGACAGCCAGGGCTATACATAGAAACCCTGTCTTGAAAAACAAACAAAAAAATTATGCCTATGTGAGAGTTTAGTATAGAATGGGAGAAAACAAACTGTGACAATAGAAATCAGAACTGGGGGCTGGAGAGATGGCTAAGTAATTAAGAGCTCTGTCTGCTCTTCCAGAGGTCATGAGTTCAATTCCCAGCAACCACATGGTGGCTCACAACCATCTGTAATGGGATCCGATGCCCTCTTCTGGTATGTCAGCGACAGGATGCTCATATACAGTAAATAAATAAATCTTAAAAAAAAGAAATCAGACCTGAAGTCAACTTGGGGCAGAATATACTCCAGAATGACTAGAAGGGATAGAAGGGAAACATGTCTAGTCATGGAAATGCTCTATATTTTGAGCTGAGTAGAGATTACAAGGATGTGTACATATGTCAAATCTCTTGCTTTAAAATAGCATTTTTATTATAGGTAAAATATTATCTCCATTTTCATAATGCAAAAAAATATCAGGAAGTAAAAATACCCTTCACCTGACCCCCAGCTGTTGATTTGGCATAAATTCCTTAACCTAATCTAATCCCATAACACCCTCTGTTCATCTCTCACCATTCCTCTCCACCTCCTACCACGTATCCTAAATTACAAGCAGTTTTAGAAACTGCTTTTTCCTCTGGGACTTTCAATACAATGTTCCTTTCATCTGGAATTCCTTTTCCATTTCCCATTAATCACTAAATCCTTTTCATCATTCAGGGCTGGTGATGTTAACATCGCCTCTAAGAAGCCTCATTTATTAGCAATCTGTAGTAGGCGCTTCCCTCTTGTCCGCCCGGTGATCTCAAGCTCCTTTTTAACAAAGCATGTATTCATCTGTAATGTAATAATAATAACAAAAGCCCCTCAGGATTGTAATAGACTGGGGTCATTTAGTGTAAGAGCAAATAGGCCTTCACATATTCTTCAAAGCCTTGAAGGAAAAGTAAATTCTATCCAAAATAGCCCAGGTTCTAGTATTCAAAGTTATAAAAATAGTGAATAAGTAATTAGGTAGATAGATGAGTAGATAAAAAGTTCCCAGTTATAAAAATAAATAAATGTGTAGATAGATAGATAGATAAATAGATAGATAGATAGATAGATAGATAGATAGATAGATAGATAGATAGATAGATAACAAAAGCTTGTTCTATCCCAACATTATTGGCAGTCTTTCTGGTTCTGGTTTGTGGGTTTGATTTGAGTCTTGTTTATTTTTTGATTGTTGTTTGTTTTCCAGACACAGTTTTATTAAGTACCACAGCCTGACCTTGGATTTATGATCTTCTGCTTCAGCCTCCAGAGTGCTGGGCTTATGTATACGGGCCACCACACCTGGCAGGATTGAGATCTTATTTTAAATTCCAGTTTGATTTCATAGTATTAGTGTTGTGTTAGCTCATTTATATGGTGGTTTAAGTGACATTTCTGTGGGCCTAACCAGATTTTTTTGGTTCTATGGGAAAATACATTTTATATTCCAGTCAAATGACTCCAAAATACTAACCAGTTTAACCATGCGAGTATGCATGTGTGGATGTGTGCACGTGGAAGCTCCCCAGTGCTGGGATAAATATAAATGTACATACTTAGAAGGCAAGTTGACTGCATGTTCATTTAGCAAAACATCAAAATAGTAAGCTTCCACCTAGGGCCTGTGGCTTCCCCAACCATGGACTTCTGAATAGGTTTCCAGTACCAAGCATGCATTTCCTCCTATGAGGCAGGCCTCAAATCCAATCAGAAACCAACATGTTGCCCTCAACTCTTGCACTAGTGGGCAAATCTTGTCTAAATGGTCAGTTTTGCTACATGCAGGGTCCACAGCTGGATAAGACCATTGGTAACTTTTCTCCCTAAATAGCCTGCATAGCATCTTCCAATACTATGAATGCCACCAGGAAGTATGCTTCTAGTTCCAACTTGATTTCTGTGTCCTCTAACCTAAATGTGTTCTGTCTTCAACGATAGGGTCTTACCATCTAGTTCTGATAGGTAACGAAGAGCAATGAGTGATAGCCTGTATTGTTTTAGGAGGAGTCTGTGGGCCCCTGGGAGAATAGCTACTTCATGTGGATCAGTGTAAATGTTTTGAAATGCAATGTGATTAATAATATTTAGTTAAATATATTCATTTATTCTTTGCTACTTAATAAATGAATCTATTCTCCTAGATGACTGTGCTTAAGCCTACTAGACATAGTTGCTTGATATCAACAATGAATCATAGGAACTTAAAGAAAGTTTATATAGACTGTTAGGGTTCTCATGGGGGCAGCCCATTTTTTAATTAGTAAATGCACTATACATGAAGACTCTGAAATTACTATTTTTTTCCAGCTGTCAATAGAATGGAAATGCATTCCTTTTAATTTTCAAAATAATTAAGGTATTTAAATCTAGCAGTTCCTAATATTTATTGTGTATGTATTATATGAGATAGGTCCTGTGTTGATTCTATAACTGCTTTAGGAGTAGAGTGCTATTGTCATCCCTATTTTCAAATGAGGAAATGAAAGCTTAAGAAATTTGTCCAAGGTAACACAGCAGTAGGTACAACCCTAAACCTCTGTGCATTGTTTACATCTTCTCACCTCAAGTATATACTTAATGAAGCTATGATCGTCATTACTGAAACCAGAACCATTCACATAGCAAACATATTATATTACTATCAGCAATGATTATAAGATAGCAGAGGACCAAATATCAAAATGAGTACTTTTTAATACAAGATTTATTTCATTCAGATGCATTAATGTATAAAAACATGAGTAGTTGAAAGAGAACAGGTTTGTGTTTTCATTAAAACTTGGCAAATAGAATAAGAAAAACAATCAACTTTTGTTTTTCACTAAAATGAGTCTTCTAGACAACACGTTCTGGAGTTTGGGAAAAAGCAGAGAATTGTTGTGTACTTTACCATGACTTAACTCCCATAAGACGGTTGACGTACTGGCACCCCAGTATTGTGCTCTCTGCTTTAGAAACAAGTTAAAAGCAGAGCATAAATAAGAACATGACAAAATCAGATGTATGTGATAATGAAGTCCAAGGGGTAATATAAAATCCAAGGCTAATTCCACATAGCCATCAGCAATGTGGAAGGAAAATCAGAAATTTATGGCAAATCCCAGAAGTCTATAGACAAATGTAACCTAAGGGATTTCTCATAGTGCTATCAGATCAGAATAAAGAGGCTTCAGATATTAACCAAAAATTCCTACCTATGTGATAAGAATAGTAATGACTCCATGATTAAAATCATCTGCAAAGTAGAAAGACACGTAGGATCGAACTTTAGACATATGGGACTTAAGGGAAGGATGGACTATGGAAAGCCAGTTGGTTGTTTTTCATGTAGGACACAGCTAACAAGGGCCAACCTTTGACACATCTACTTGTTAATTTTACAGATGGCCCTTCTGAATTTCTTCTTTCCTGATGAAAAGGCATATTCTGAAGAGGAAAGTAGGCGTGTTCGCCGCAATAAGAGAAGCAAAAGTAGTGAAGGAGCAGATGGTAAGTCTACTCCAGTCATCTTTCCTCTATGATATGTTAATAAAAATATTCTTCATTCTCGTGTATTATCCAAAGAGCACGGATTTCTCACCGTAACCTGCTAATCAATATTTTAACGCAGAACTAACAATAGAAGGATCCTTCATCCTCTAATTCCAGATACCTTCAGTCCTTTTTTTCAGTATGTTTGGAGGCCATGGTAGCATTTATGTCCTTCAAGGTCACTCTCCATAAGGACCTCTTCTCTCCTTGGGACATATCAGCTATGTCCACCAAGATAATTTGATCCTATTTTTGTAACTGATAGTGTTTTCCCATGCTGGCATTTATAGGATGTATTGTTTCCAATGATAATTATAACAGTTTTGGTATATGTTACTATGTCCAAATCTAAACCAAAGCATGTAACATTACTCTGGAAGTTCCTTGAGGACAAGGATCCCTTCCCCTTACATAACCCTATAAATGTGGCCTAGTATCTGTCTCACCCTTAGTATCCTAATGTAACTTGACAGTGTTTACTGTCCCTTCAGCTAGGCAGTGATTCACCCAGCAAAACCATTTCCATTATGGGTGTAATAGCTTTGAGTTAACTAGTAGTACATTCAGGGGATGACAAAATGTTGAGGTAGCTCCTGGGCAGGGACTTTGAATCACTGTATTTCAATGTTACTCTGTCAGTTGACAGAATGCTACCCCTTTGGCACAGAGGTTTATAGGATACATAGCTCTGGGCTGTTGAAAAGCCATCTGGATTCAAAGACAATGTGTCTGGCTACATCTGCTGATAATATGTGTCTGTAGGGGTTTACAAAGCAATATGATTTTATAAAGATGAAAATGAGATTTTTAAGCTGACATTTGTCAGTGTGAGTAAGGGCCAATGATGGGAGCAATTCCAGAAAGTGGAAGCAATGAAGAAATGGAACTAGTACTACCTTAGAGTTAAGGATAAAGAGTGCCAGGGAATCATTTGATTGTCTACATACAATACTTAACCTTTCACCTGGGAGGCTAGAGAACCATTTCTTTAGATGGGATGAGTGTCTCAATGAGTTAAAAGGTGACAAACCAATCCAAATATCCTTTTGGAAAACCGCTCTTGTTATTCTGCTGGCTATGTACTGTGTTTATCCAATGCAGTCTAAAAATATTTACTGAGTAAATAGATCCAATTTATATCACAGTAGGATAGAAGCACTAGAAGAAGATCCGTGTTTGTTTGGTTAACGTTTATATTCTTACCATGTAGACAAGGACTTGGTATGTGACAGACTTCACTGAATATTTCTGATTCCCCAGGGGACTTCATTTCTAGTGCAGAGATAAACAGAAAACAAAGTTTGTGGTGATAACTGCTGTGAAGAAAGATATAGCAAAGAAACCTTTAGAGAGGGTAATGGAGTATACTGTACAGTGATTAAGGGGGTCTTCTGTGAAAAGATGGCAGCTGAGGACAGACCGGAGTGAAAAGAAGGTAAAGCAAGTGGAAAAAGGCAACCAAAAGTTTTTTTTTTTTAAACCGAGAATACATGGTATGTTTCAGGAAGATCAGTGTGATTGGGATCATAGGAAGAGAAAGGAGATGAGGGCAGAGAGTAAAACTCACTCTACAGCCTTGTGGGCCAAAGTAAAGGTCCTGGTGTCTTATTCTGCATGGATTGGGGAACTATATTGGATGAGTTTGAATAGACGAATGACAGTATTTGACTTACATTTTAACAGAATCCATCTGACTTCTCTAGTGAAAATGATTTAGAAAGGGCAGGAACAGGGAGACTCAAAGTGGGTAATATCCAGGCAAGAGATGATAATAGCTTAGAATAGTGTGGAAGCAGGATAGTAAGAAGTGCTAGGACTCTAGAAAGATTTTGAAGAAATGGCTGATAGGATTTGGGGATTTATTAAAGGATATGAAAACGACAGATAATAGCCAAGAATGACCTCAAGAGTTTGGGATATGAAGAACTAAATGACTTGAATTGCTGTTTCTGAGATAGAGAAGAAAAGGGAGGAGAAGTGTAGAGATGTGTGGGAAAAGAGTTATGAATTTAGAAATCAGACTTGTGGAAGAAGGAGGATATGGATACAAGAGGGGTATCAGAGATGAATATAGTTCAAGTTTATGACATACTTAAAAGAATTTGTCTTTCTGAAGCTAATGACTATGTACTCTGAATATATATTAGTATTTTAATTAAAAATGCCAAAACATAAAAGAATGTAACTAGGCCGGTTAAATTTGAGATGCCCATTTAGATAGCCAAAGAGATACAATTCAACATCACTATCGCAAGATAATGAGCGAGTTCTGTTTTATACAAATATAGAACTTCCCAATAAAGAGTGAACCTATTAGTAATTAATTTTAACTCTATAGTTATTTGATATTACAATTCAAGTTTAGATAATCTATCTCAAGTTTGTGTCACAAGTGTCAAAGAAAAAGCAATTTGCCTTAGTTAAAAATTTATTTAAAAAAAAAAACATTTTTCAAAGCTCAAAAACAGGAATAAGGGCCAGCATGATGGCTCAGCAAGTAAAGGTCTGACTGCAAGCCTGACAACCTGCATTCAGCTCCTAGGATCCACATGGGAGAAGGCAAGCACCCACTCCTGCAAACTGTCCTGGGACTTCTACTTGCATCATAGCAGGCACATGCATACACACACACACACACACACACACACACACACACACACACACACACACAGAGGAATGCATGTACAGATGTGCAGACACTAAAAAAAAACAGAAACACATTTAAAACATAGCAGGAAAACAGTTCTAAATTCCTATTAGTTTTGTAATCTATTGATATCCTCAGATTGAACTACAATTCCCAAACTATTTTCCAGTTTGTTGTTTAGTAAGCCTTCCACATGCAATTGAAAGGAGTAAAACATGAACCTGGCCTCAAAGAAGTTTACAGAGAAGCTTTGGTGAAGTAGCTGGTAGATTTATAGACAAGAGGTAAGGATGCCACACATATATGGTAATGTGGTGGATTCCTATTGATAACATTTCTCCCCATAAGAGAGGATCTTAGCTAAGAAAGTATTTCCATAAGCTTGACCTGTAGGCAAGTCTGTGGGGTATTATTGTGATTAATGACTGGTGTGGGAGGGCCTAGTTTACTATGGGCAGTGCCATCCCTGGGCTGGTGTTCCTGATTGTTGAGCAAGTCATGAAGAGCAAGCCAGTAAGCAGCATTCTTTCATGGCCTCTGCTCCAGTTCCTACCTCCAGGTTCCTGTACCGAATTCCTGCCCTGACTTCACTCAGTGATGGAGTGTGACCTGAAGAGTTGTAAGAAAAAAATAAACGCTTTCTTACCTAAGTTGCTTTTGGTCACATACGTTTCATTACAGCAATGGAAACCACAACTAAGACACTGACTTTCCTGTTCCATTGGTCACTTATACTAGATGATTAGAAGCATAACATAGGTATTCCCTTTCTTACCTTCAAAACAAAAGCAGGGCTTTCAAGAGAGCTGAAAGGGTAAAGGCACTTGTCAACAAGCCTGATGACCTGAGTTCAATGTTCTGAGGCAACATTTGGTAGAAGAGAACTGACTCGTGATATTTGTTGGCTGCCGTTCACACATGGCACGTGCATACACACACATGCACACACTCGTTCATGTGCACAGACATATGTGCACACACATGTGCACGTGTACACACACACACACACACATGTTGGGGCTGGAGAGCTAGCTCAACAGTTAAGAGCATTTACTAGGTTCTTTTCTGAGCACCCACACTAGGCAACTCACAATAATGTGTAATTCATATTTCAGACAATCTGATATCTTCTGGCCTGATGGCACTTCCATGCATGCAGTCCACTACATATGCTCAGGTACACATAGATACACATAAAATTAAATAATTAACATAATAAATTTTAGCTTTTCTTTTTAAAGTAGCTATCTCCAGGATGTGTCAATTTTTTTCTAACCTGCAATTTAAGAATGATTACATTCACCAATTTCTCAATTCTGAGTATTCTGTAAGTGAGGGGATTGGCTCGTAAATAGCAGTCACAAACAAAGGTTACTTTCTCCAATATAAATCTTACAGTGTTATTGTTATAACATCTCTTAAAATGAATTGCTCTGTGTTTTTATTTTTTATGTGTATAGATGCATTTCTTGCATGTCTGTCTGTATAGCCTGTGTGTGCAGTACCCATGGAGACCAGAAGTGGAATCAGGTTCCCTGAAATTGGCATTACACATGGTTATTAGATGCTGTGTATGTGCTGGGAATTGAACCTAGCTCATCAGCATGAGTAGAAGCAAATGCTGAGCCAGCTTTCAAGGCCACAGATTACTTTCCTTTTTTGTTCTATGTAGCTATATATCTACATTAAATTTATGTGTCTTGTTGGCCAGAAATCTTTTGGTAGTTTCTGAGTTCATTTTTGTTAATTAACAAGGCTTTTGGGTCATTGTTATTGTTTCATTTCATGGTATCTGCTAAGGCACAATACATACAGCAGTCTGTGTCAAGATTTTCTGAAGTCTGTACTCTGCAGTCATAATTGCTCTGATGGCCATCTTTTACAGGCTACTATGTGGACTGTAGAATGGATTCAGGAGCTCATGAGGTCTTAAAATCAGATAATGTGTATCAAGAATTATCAGAGTTTCCATAGTTTACAAATACTACTTTCAAAATATCTGTTCTGTTCCTTTAGGAGCAACCTCAGGAGTCAATGAAAAATCTTATCTCCCCACAACCATCTATTCCTGGTATTTCTATCTTCATAAGGGAAAAAAAGTATAGTGTGGTATAAGAGGAAAGGTACTTGACCAAGTTACAGTCTATGGATTCCAAATTCTAATATCCCCACTATATTACCTGTCATATGATCTTAGAGAAGTCACATCCCTCTGAGATTTCCTTTTCTTGTTGATAAAATAGAGACAATGAGCCTGGCTTAAGACATGAGGTTACTGTGTTGATCCAAAGTGCCAATAGATTTTTGTTTA